CTATTTTTTCTCATGTTATTCTACCATCCATGTGGTCTCTGCTTCTTTCATGACTACTCAGTACATTTCATTCGTTATATCTACAAACCAATACATATAACTAACACCTATATCTAGATCCTACAACATGCAAAACACGAGTTTCGAATAATAACACGTTTGCTAATTTCTTCTACAAATAAAAAGTTTGCTTTCTGCATTTCTGATCTGATATTTGGGCGATAACACAAATTCAGGAGCGGATAAACTAGTTATAAGCAACATAAACACGTATTTTACCGGTTCTTTCTCACCAACAATATTCGTTCTAAAATCGATGGGATAAATTCGGGTCGGCCCATGAGAAAATTTCGACTGACCACTCCATATAAATTCTTCACCGTCATCAGATTATTATTGCAGCCCTGTCCGAGAAATATCTTTTTGTATTCACGTGTGATATAAACCCTTTCGCGATGCCGTATATGCCCTGCAACTGAGCCAGACTCCTTAGACTAAGCAACAATCTAATGCAATTTAGACAAGTGATGTAGCCTTAAATGAGAGCCAGTGCAGGTAAACCTAGAAATAGTGCCTTAAGCTGGAATGTGACCGCATACATCCACTTAATTACCAATCCATTATTCACTTCCACCAATCTTCGACGCTGTATAGTCTGACCTGCTGAGAGCGCTACTAAATAGACTACAAGCAAAACGAGACCCCTGCATATATAATATTACACAGAGAAGCGTGGACACGCATCTATCCTCCGACAGGATTTCATTGTCCTGATGGTGACATCGGGTTAGCTAGCTTAATTTTACTGAGGAGAGCTTTGTGCAGGGTGTATCAGTTAGTGGGATGCAACCCACTGGTGGAACTTGATGTGGACAGAATGGAAAGTGAGGTCTCGAAAGTAATAGCGGCCATTAATTAAGAATTGTCTTAATATTGAACAATCTACAATAAAAAAGTACATTTCTTTGAAGTAATATTGTATATCAGATCCATATTGTGTGCGAACTACTTATTATGCATTCCGTCAAAACAATTCCTGTATAATTGAAGAAATGTGTACTTTTCTACTTTAAACATTGTCCAACGTAAAGAAAAATGACAGAAAATTAAGAGTGTTGAGGTAAAATAATTTACTTGATGATGGCCATAAATGGCCGAAACATGTTTGTGAAGTAAAATCAATTTATTCAATTTATACAGGAATTTTATTGCCAGAATCTATAATTAGCACTTCTTACAAGTGGGAAAGTTCCTTTTATTTTTTGACCATGTGGAACAAAAAATATAATAATATCGAGAAGTACTGATTTACTGGACCCATAAATCTTTATTTTGTAACAACAGATATGTTGCGTAAAATCCATGTTTCTTATTACGTGACTGTCAGAGGCTCAAACGGTGATGTTCTATACTACTTCCTGCTTCTAATAATGCTGAAGGAAAAATCATAAGTAATTACTCAAAGTTGTTTACAGGTATGATTATTATTTGCAAAAGTAGATCTACCCTGCCGGTCAAGGTAGCCGAGCAGTCTAAGGCATGCACTGTCTTCGCTCGCTCGCAAGCCGGGATCGTGGGTTCGAATCCCACTCAGGGCATGGATGTTTGTGTGCGTTTTTCTGTGTTTGTTTACAGGTAGAGGCCTTGCGACGAGCTGACCACTCGCCCAAGGAGTCCTACCGAATGTGTAAGATCTAGTAAACCGAAGTGAATGGAGAGTTCATGGAGGTAGGCCTAGGCCCACTGGGGCTGTAGCGCCAAGAAAAAAAAAAGATCTACCCTAGAATCTGCTGATGATCATACCTTAGCAATCTGTACAAGGAAGGATATCCAGTGACCAATTTGTAACTAACATTATATAATTCACGAATGCGGTATGAGAATTCCCATATCACAGCCAAAAATACAGGCAGATAGAAGAAATGGCCCTCTACTAGAATAAATTTCTTTATGTAATAAGATAATTAGTGAAAAGTTAGCTGAATTCAATCTAGAACCAATGAAACCAACGTAGCGCAGATATGCCTATATTTGGTTCTTCGAATTTCAGTTAGTCTGCAAGAGGACTTCAGAACCGTTGGAATGAAAAATTATGACGACACAAGAATCAACAAGCCAAAAGCGAATCTATAACGACAAGATTAAAGCGAAACATAAGGATGACAAGTGTAAAATCGTGCACTCTAATTGTGAATATATTTTCGTGAAACGCGTCCCTTATTGACAGGCCCACTGGCTTTCACTTAGCTCACAGTAGTATATTCTACAAGCTTGCAAGCGGTGCAGCGGTACAGTGTTTGCAGCCCTAAATAACTGTATAACTGTCAACAGATCCAATCAGCGCAAAGATATTCCACTACGCAGGTAGAAAATTATATTATTTTTGCATTTCATTTGTCAACAAATCGAAAAATATATAAGATAAATCGTATATCTGAATGAAATCTACATTAAATCCTGTGTTAATCACTGGTTCAATTGGTTTGGAAACTTGGTGTAGTTCCATTGCAGCTCCAAGAACCATAAGTGCGGACCCACAACACAAAATTTCGTCTAATCAAGTTGAATTATTTTTTATATGTAAGATATGAGAAAGGATAAACGGACAGGCTCACACGATACTCTCTCCCTCCTTAAGGATTCATTTTATTCGAACTGAGGAAACTTCGTGGTTTCTTGGGAGGTTTGATTTGGATATAAGTTTGAACTTCTTTTTATTGCTATTAGGTTGGGACTAAGTCCCTTGTACTGCGGCCATTTCTGGCCTATTGTATCAGCCCCAGATGATAGGTGAGGGTGATTGTGGAACAATTGGTGGAATGAAGATTGGCTGGGGAAACCGAAGTACTCGGAGGAAACCTGCCCCAACACCACTTTGTCTACCACAAATCCCATTTGGCCAGACCCGGGATCGAACTCGGGCCGGCGCGGTGGGAAGCCAGCGACTAACCGCTTGAGCTACAGAGTTACAAAGACATCGCCTTTCGGCGTCCAGCCCTTGTCGGTTCTTTCAACTGCCTAGAAAGCCTTTTTTATTCCTCGTTAAAGGAGGGTCGAGAGCGGATTGTCTCATGTTCTGAGATATGCATGCTATCGAGAGAAAAAAGGCAAGAGCAGATATTGATCATAGCGATTTGCCGCATGGATATCTAGCAAACTTTCTGATAACCACTTTATTGGTACAATCATAATCTGGAACGCGTAAGGTCAGTTTAACTTTGTGTAAGCCTAGCTGATAGTGTCAGTCAAATTTATTGAATGAGAGTTACGTGCCAATATCGTATTTAATCGTCATTTTATTACAATTGGTGACAATAGAACGTAATTTTTTAAAATTCTGTAAATTTTATGTCATAAGATCCAATTCTACACTATTAACACTAGGGCAATAATCCTTCTAAATGAATATATATTTGTATAAAGTATTTTTTTTTGCTAGTGGGGTGGGACTAAGTCCCTTGTATTGCGGCCACTTCTGGCCTATTGTACCAGCGCCAGATGATAGGTGAGGGTGATTGTGTAGCAATTGGTGGAATGAAGATTTGGCAGGGGAACCGAAGTACTCGGAGAAAACCTGCCCCAGCGCCACTTTGTCCACCACAAATCCCGCTTGACCAGACCCGGGATCGAACCCGGGCCGCCGTGTTAAGAAGCCAGCGACTAACCGCTTGAGCTATGGCGCGGCCCTATGTATAAAGTAATAAACCGTCGGATGAAAGCTCTGAAATTACGCAATTTCTGGTGAGATTAACAACGAATTATCGAGCGTTAACACATTGCATGGAATTCTGTGATACGTCACAAATGATCGAGTAGTACTCGTATTTGGTTCAATATATCATGTACGAGTATATTCTGTGAGTGCTGATAATATTTTAATTTGGATGTGTGAATTGTAGTGTGCTATATAAAGGGAGCGTTTACGTTTGAATATTTGTACATGTTCTTCCGAGGACCTTAAATGTCTGCCTCGACGTATTTTTTGATAACACGTAGAACTGCAAAAGAATAAGAGCAAACGCGTGGAAGTTAATATGGAAGCTTATGTTACAAATCATGAGCATTCCAGTTGACATCGCAATGAATGTTACGCTAGTGAAACTGAAATAAACTTTCGAAATTCATCAGAACTGTTAATACAGTTCTTAGCAAGAAGTTTGGAAACACACGAAATTGATTATCGGATATCATAAAACGCCTATGTATAACACAGTCCGTCAATCATGCAACAATTGTTCCTTTTGCTACCATTTATACATTAACACAACATGATTCGGCCTTAAATGGCCATCTTTAGGTGTCTTAATATATCAAAACAGTTACACTGCATTAATATGCAGTAAAATCACACGCTGTAGTCCACTTAATAAAATAAAATAAAATAAAATAAAATAAAATGAAATAAAATCTATTACAATTTTGTATTGTTTTTTTTGTTGTTATTTTGGTGAAATTCTATTCCACCTCACAAGGGGTGTCGTCTATTTGTTTAGAACTATATATTTCTTCCTCTGCTGGGGGGAACAGCTCCATATCGATGTTAAAACAAATATATTACATATATGACTTTACCGGGAAAATTATTTCTTCTTCTTTTCATTCTAGAAAATTTGTAATTGGATAAGGTTCAGTTTGTCCATCAAGACGGTTAAGAATTTCTTTACTGATACGGCCTCCATCATTATTTTGGTCAGACAATTGTTTCCTTAACACTGTGCTTAAAATCAATTATAGAAGAATTTGCTGCAGAATGGGCACTGGATAACCGTAGTTGGTTGAGGCACTATCCTACAAGCCGGAAGTTCTCGGGTTCAAGTCCCGATGTGGTGGATTTTTCAATTTATCTAATCCTTCCAGCCGCACTATGGCCCTCGGGTCGATTCAACCTCTAACAGAAATGGATACCAATAATCTTCCTGGGGGGTAAAGAGCTGCCAGCGCTTAAGGCTGACAACCTTACCCCCATCTGTGAGTTTCGAGGTCTCACAACCCTATGGGCTTTCACGGCCTGTTACAGGGATAACTTTAACTTCAACTTTTACCTTACCTTTCTGCAGACAGTTCCTTTACTTATTAAGACAATGTCCATAATGCGGTCTAATACAAATACAATAAGGAAAAATCAGAATATGCGGAACATATCGTGGACACACAACTTGAACGGAAAATTGGAAGAGTCGATGGACAATTGAAGATTATGTCTGAAGAAAGAGACTTGGATACCTGCGAACAATTTCACATATATACATTTAGAAATTAGTAAGGTATGGGTATCAACACGGAAAGTTTCATGGTGTACGTAGATCGTCCAGAAATTAGAGACGGATCAGTGATTAAAAAATAAACTAATAAATTAAAAAAATATATTCATCATTACTACAGACCTTAAATCACTTTTCTACATAATCCGTCTGAAGATTCAGGCACATGTATCGTGTAACGAGTTTCTCTATTCCTGCATCGTAGGTTCTGCCGTCGGTCCAATGAGCCAGTCTTTAACCGTTTCCTTCACTTCTTCTTCTCTGCCCACGCACTGCTATGAACAAACGGTTTTTACTTTATTTTACTTTACAAATCATACGCGGGACAGTAGTGTAAAGTCTACGATCTGAGAGTCACTGGAAAATGACCGATGAAACCAAATGTGCCTTATAATGAATTTATAAATAAATTGTTGTGGTAAGTGGAGAGGGTCAATTATAGGAAATAGCCTTGAGTGCATGAAAAAAGCTTCTATACTTCACAGTTTCGTCTAAGTAATTACATTCTGAGCTGTGTTAATAGTTGTTTTGTGAGGAATTAGGTAACGAGTAACAAACATGATTCCTTTATTAACATTCTCAATCTCCGTCTACTTCAAAGCATCATTGTCTAGTGTTGTTCAAAATTAAATATGTCAATGATTTTTCTTTTGAAATAGAGCACAGAATACAGATATTTATTGTGGTTTGTAACTTCCTTTGTCAAATATGTATGTCAGTAAGTTATAAACCCAAACACTACGAGATATGAGGCGAACTGGCCCTGCAGGGTGTAATCTTTGAGTCATGACAATGACGGGTGGGTGCTCGATTTCATAAGTTGTGGTCACTCTGTTCATGCTTAATGTAATGAACATTATTAATATATTTAGACTTTTCGCTTATGTTTCAATGTCTCATTTCACCTTTCTCGCTAGTCTACCATGGCAGAAAATTGCCCTTGAGAGACAAATAGATGCTCGTTTTGTCGACAAGTTCCACAAACACTTTGGAACACGAGAGTTCATTATCAGATCAGTCTGAACCGGAACACAAACTGCTATGAGATTTTTCGTGGTTTGCCTCAGTCTCTTCAGGCGAATACCAGACAGTTCTGTGAAATATTCATTATCTCTCCGTTGCCAATATTTTAATTTTATCGAACACGACCATCATCTCATTAAAAATGACTAAATTGATTTAACGTCATTAAATAATCTACAATCCTTCCATCATTCAACACCTACATGCCTATGCTTGTCTTAATTTCTAGCTTACTTTCTTTATTTTGAATCAAATAGAATTATGCTTATGAGATGTCTGTGTGTCTGTACGTGTATCCTCCCTATCGTTGCTAGGCAAAGGCTCGGTAAACGCGTTCACACGGGAACTAATACACAACATCCTTGTCTATCAAGTATTCAGTGTGAAGTGAAAAGAAAATAGGCGATCATTTCTTCGTAGAAGTTCTCGCTACATTTGTAGTGACTTGCAAGTATGAGGAACAATTCAGCCCAAGGTGCAAACACAATTAAGATAAGCTTAGTCACGAACGTCACCAAGGACTGTAGCTCAGAGAGTTCGTCTGGAACCCAGAAATGGTTGTGTCGGCATTGTCAAGAAAGCAGATCATCTGTGATTCCATTGTGTACTGTTAAGGGACTTCGAGTTCAGAAGGGTGAAAGCTGAGAATGTTGTCGTGCCATCTTCTGCTTAGTGCTACTTTGAAGTGTCGGACAAATGTTATGCGGTTAGGCTTCATGCAGCCTTAAAGAGCAGGCTATCAGGTCTGTATCTATTCATAATTCCAAGACCAACACAAACGACAATTATTTATAACTGATATTATACAGACAAATTCAAAATATGATCTTCTAGGTTATGATACCGTGTAGTTCTGTAGATCTTAAAAAATATTTCGTAGAAGCGTGTTTCTTTCATCTTCAGGGTAAAAGTCTACACCTTGTTATTTGAAATGTTGAAAACTTCTACGAAACTAAATATTATCGACGTCAAACCCTCAAATCCAAAATATAGATGAACATTTTCACTACAAAATTTGAGTAATATAGCTATTTATAATTTTACTTACCATCTTGAGAATGGGGCATAGCTATTAGAAAGAAAACAAAGGTGAGATATGCAAATAGGTTTTGCAAATATTCAAAACTTTTGAAATGGACCCAGTATCACTTTACATTTCCATCCTTCCGGCCGCACTATGGCCCTGGGATTCACTCAGCCTCTAACAGAAATGAGTACCAGGAATTAATTAAATAATTTTCCTGGGGAGTAAAGCGCGGCCGGCGCGTAAGGCTGACAACCTTACGCCATCTTTGAGCCGATTGTCTAGATAATGTGGGACCCTCAACGTCTCACAACCCTGTGGGCCTTCACGGCCTGTTACGGGGATAGCTTTACTTAATTTACTTTATAGAAACCGCCTTTGAATCAGATCCTAAAATCCCTAGTACTTTTTTATTATCATTATAATTTACCTATTACTGTTATCTAATAGTTAAATTATATTATGCACGAATTATATGAAATACTGAAAAATACACTGATTCTATTTACACTTCACAAATAGTCTGCATTTGAAAATATAGTACATTATGTTAAGCGGTGGAATTGATATTACATCAATTTAAAATTCAATATCAAATTTATACAAAGATGTTAGGTTATTCGACAACCTTGTTTCAATTGCAGAGGTTATGTGGTGCAAAATAATATGGAACGATTGTGAATAGTGAGTATAAAGACTTGAAACGAGGCGGTAGAGGCCTATTTAAGATTACATATATTCCCATTATCCGCCTGGACGGACTGAGGAAATCCATAAGAACCTCAGGCAGAATATCCGCTGAATCTACGGACTATCGAATCGGATATATTACGAATAGATATCTACATTGTTACTGTTACGGCAATATGTTCGGTTTGGACTTAGTTTTCGTGACATACCAGATGAGTAAATATCTCAAAAAAAAGTGCATAGACCAATGCATTGGTTAATAAAGGAACCTTCTGATAAAATTCAATTATGTTGCATTTTGTTTCCTTACATATGATCTTAAATATTGTATCGGCTAAGAATATATTCGTACAATCTTACCGCCATCTTTGAGCCGATTGTCTAGATAATGTGGGAACCTCAACGTCTCTCAACCCTATGGGCCTGTTACAGGGAGAGCTTTACTTTTACTTACTTTACTTTACACTGTATTCTATAAGTATGATCTCTGATATAAGCTGAAAATATCATTCTCTCGGGTAAGAATTTCTTCATCTGCTGTTCACTCAGATATTTCAGAAGGCTGGGATAAAGCTGATCTCATAATATTATGGTATAAGAATGAAAGTGAAGAAAGAAGAAAAATCAGAATGCTTGACTGACTTAGATAAGAGTGTCCTTCATGCAACAGTGTCGTTGGGGACAGTCTCCTAACAGTGCAAACTGTTTCGAGCGAACATGTATTCGAAGCACTAGTCATAACGTTCCGAACTCTGGCTGAAGTACATCTTAGCTGTCTGGGAATTGAAGGGAATATGGAAACTGAGGATATGATGAGGAAATACACTTCGTAACAACGACAAACTTTAAACTACTGCGTCCTCAGAAGCTTTCGTTTTCACCTTCTATTATTATCCGTAAGTGCATACAACAGCCGAATTCCTTCTGTCAGTCTGCCCCGTTTCCGTCTATTACTCCAACATTTTCCCACTGTGTAAGGACAGCTCTACATCGCGAAAGTACATTGAAGGGCGCTGGGTTCTTTTCCTGATCCATACAGGTCTTCTCTTTCACTAATTTTAGCGGGAGAGACGGCGCTGATAAATTTTCAACGAACTCGAGGAAGGCTAATCCATCAGCTTGTTACACTCTTTGGGGGGAAATATGCAAGCACTTAAATCACCTTCCTGTATCTGTTTTAAGAAAGGAAGTCAAAATATGTTCTTATTGCAGTTAAATTCTTCTACCTCATCGATTCGGAAAATCTCTAATACAGGACTCGTTTAGCTTCATTGTGCCTTATTTATGTACAAGAAAACGACCAAGGAGTTTGTTACGCTCTAGAACGGCTAGAGCCTGAGGACTGTGGGACGTCCTACATCCCCAAAGCAACATATGCTGCAACTATTAGCTTTTATTATATAACCCATAGTAACAACCAATTGTGAAGTCCTCTTTGTAGTGTGGATAATGAAAGATGTTAAAACATTACATTTGTGTCTTTGTCTACTTGTCTGTCTGAATTGAATTGTGGGTGTGTCCTATGCGTACTGAAACAAAATAAACTTCATGTCTAGCAGTTTATCAGTACCGGAAATGTGACGTTATGAAAACAATGATGTTATTTTATTTTCGAAAAACATTCAAGACTTGTCATCATCACCACCACCATCACACTAAAAATATGAAGCTGCATTTCCCCCAAAACTTACCTTCATAAGTTTTGTGTGCTTTAGATATTTTTTTCAAAGGCCTATAAGTTTACAGCATGTAAAGCCCATGTGCTGAAGGGCAATGATATTATCCCCACCTCATAAGTTTTCACCGCCGCCACGTTAGTGTTTTTGGAGGAAACATGTTAAATTGAATAACATATATACAAACTTTCCTGAAAATCGGTCAAGATGTGTACAGTACTGATGCCCAGTAATATATAATAGCCGAAGACGAATATGAAAGTATTTAATTAAATTAGGAGACTGAAGCAGTAACTGAACCCACGGTTAACCAAACGCAAAATGGACTCTGGACTGCGAGTCTCTGTGTTGAGGTATAAAGGTAAAGTTGTCCCGGTACTTAATAATTAAGCACTACGCCATGAAGGCGTATGGGGGAGTGGATATATAGTTCCACATTTTCTTGACCTCTGCACTAGTTGGAGGTGAGCGGTCAGATTCACGCCCCACTCACTTTACCCCCCTCCGGAAAATGCCCCCGGTACCCATTGGATAGGAGGTTGGTTGGACCCCAGAGCTGTCTTGACGACGTGACGAAGAGAAACTTCTTGAACCTACCAGAACTCGAACTCCGAACCATAGGCCGTCCAGCCGGTAGCCAGTCGTTATGCCGATTGCGCTATCCCGGCTCCTGTGTTAAGGTATCCGTACTCTTCTACAGGCGCTGCGTAAGAGTGAATGTGGCGGTTGGTCCACCATGAGGAACGTTAATACACAGTGAAGCTTCGATTCGTGAAGGGGAACATGTCCTTGCGTGTCACAATGTGAACGAGTAGCTGCAAGGTGCAGAACACTCCTGCGAGTCACGTGTACACGTAGATCACCTTGCATCTCGATCCGGATTGATGCAGAAAACTGGCCTTCATTCTGAAACCCCTTTGTGTACGGCGTCCTTTCTCTTTGATCGATAGTTCATTTATACTCACAAACGTTTCTAGACGCTTTCGAAAATTTACGGAGTACCTGCGAATTTAGCTATTCAGCTCAGTCAGTCCGTTCGTCCGTCTGTAGGCACGGAACAACTCAAGAACCGCTGGGCAGATTTGAATGAGGTTTCATACCGCAGAATTCTACGAGATGTTTCGATTTTTATTTAGATCGGAATGAGCTGGCAAGAATTCACGTATATAGATTTCTGCCCGCATCTCACTAAAAATGTATTGCAGAATATTTATGCAAACACTTAAATAAAATGAAATAATGATTTATGAGGAATAAAGTTCCGTTGTATATCTTGTGCTTATCAATGGTTTTTGAAAAAAAAAAAGATATGTTATGAATACTTTTTCGAACTTGCATCTTTAGCAACGAACTATGGTTTTCTGACAAAATCGCAGTTAATGTAGAAGTGAAAAAGTTTTTATTGAGCTTAAAGTCCGCTAAAATCACTTCTTTCTTATTCTCTTAATGTGATGCTCTATTACGATATGACTTTGGATATGTAAATATAGTATATATACATGAGGATTATTCGGAAAGTAACCTCCGGTGAGCTGTTAACAAAACAAGCAATGAGAAAAAAGTTATTTTATGCGAAAAATACGTGCATACTTAAGCCACTTCTCGACGTATTCGCCGCCAGAATTGAGCCATTTTTTTTTTGTATCGGGGAATAAGTTTTTGTGTTTCTGTCTCAAAGAAGTCTTCCGCTTGTGAGCTGAGTCACGTCTTCACACCTTCCACCAACTCCTCATTATTGTTGAAGTGTTGTGATCCTAACCAGTTCTTCAGGTACGTAAATAGGTAGCAGTCGCTCAGAATGAGATAAGAGTTCTAAGGAAGGTGATCAAACAACTCCCAGTTGAAATGCTCCAGCAGTGCTCCAGTGCGAGCAGCTGTACTCGTACGCGGACGCGCATTGTCATGGAGGAGCGCTACACCGTAAGTCAGTATTCCTCGCCTTTGGTTCTGAATGGTCCTAGTGGATTATTCAGTGTTTCGCAGTACATTTCTGGCGCTATTGTGGTCCTTTGTTGCATGAATTCCAGCATCACACTCCTTTCCTGAAAAGATTGGCAGAGGAAAATTTACCAGGAAGTAATCACACGTGACGTCATGATAATCATGGAGCTGTCCTCCCAGTGAAAAGCCGACCCACCGATAGAAAGCACTCATGTCGCCATTTCTTTTCAGTGACGTGCAGACATATTTTTTTTCCTTGGCACTACAGCCCCAGTGGGCCTAGGCCTACCTCCATGAACTACGTTCACTTCGGGTTTTCTAGATCTTACATATACTGTAGGATTCCTTGGGCGAGTGATCAGCTCGTCACAAGACCTCTACCTATAGACAAACACAGAAAAACGCACACAAACATCCATGCCCTGAGTGGGATTCGAACCCACGATCACGGCTTCCGAGCGAACGAAGACAGTGCATGCCTTAGACCGCTCGGCTACCGTGACCGGCGTGCAGACACAATAACTACTCTGTAATTATACGCATTTCCGGACCCATGTCATAAACGTTTTTCTTCTCTCTATATGAGGGGTCAATTCCTGAAGGTTTGCCATTGGGTTGTGATACATCCTGTATAATATATAATTTTCGTTTAGTATGTAATTATTAACAGATAAATTGAAACTGATTGTTTGGTAATTCAGTAGACCTATATAATTTTTTCTCCTTCACTAATTCGAATATTATTATCTCGCAGTGAATTGTTTCCTGCGAATTAAATATTTGCTTATTGTATGGGAAGTGTTTATCATAGTCTTAATTATTTTATTTTAATTCCGTCAGCCGAAAATGCATGTTAAATATAGGCCTACATTGTATAGCCCACTTTTAATATTGTTAGCTACACAGCCCGTTTAGATTTCTCTTTACGAAGATTTTTTAGAAATAGCTGAGATATCTTGTGTTTGTAGTCTGAAGTTCTATGGTAATTTGTATTTCCGTTGTTGAAAAGACGGAGCTGGCCTGTTTTTATTTACTGAAGATTCTCCTGATTGCAGACAATATCAGAGCCGTAGCTCAAGTGGCAGTATTCCATGCTTACGTCGGTGTTGCGCACACTTCGAGTTTCGATGGTGACACGGACTGAGATTTTTCGTGACTTTACTCAGTCCATCAGTGTGCTGACGGGGTCGTATGTCCGTCAATGAACTGGGCGATTTTAAACATTTTATGAACAGTAAACTATTGCATTTATTTGATTTTATCTCATATGAATACAGTGAAAACATTAAAGCATTTGGGTTTTCTCAATTAACTTTCTGAGAATAGAATCACTTTCCCAAAAATAATATCCAACAAATTACCACAATTCCACTGTAGGCACTCGGTAAGTCTCTTCCTAAAGTCACTCATTACTGTTTGCAGAATCTCTACTGGAATTCGTTCAACTTCCTCCCGAATTCGATGATTCAATTCCTGAACTGCGTGGGGTGCTGGAGCTTTGAAAACTTGGGATTTCAGATACCCCCCAGAGAAGAAAATCACATGTGGAAAGATCAGGTGACCTGGCTGGCTTTATGATGTCCCCATATCTAGAGATATGAATTTTATAGAGGTAGAAGTGGAGACCTTCGTGCAAAATCCATGGGACGCTGGTTTCGGACAGCCCGAGTGTTGTAGCGTGTCGACGCGCAAACCGGCGTGGACTTCGTTCAATCGCTTCTCTCACTGCCGCTAGATTCTCGGGTGTACGTGCTGTTTTTTCGCTACCACCTTTCTTCTTTAGTGTAGAACCAGTAGCCTCAAAGTTTTGAACCCAGGTCTTGATGGCATTGGCAGATGAAACAGCACGATTGCGATGAATACCAAACTCTCTTCGAAATTCACACTGGGCGATCACGAAACTGTCACCGATTTTGTAAAATGCTTTCACAGCAAAAGCATATTGTGCTCCAGTCCAAGGCTCCATTGCAACTAAAACGCTTTGAAGTAGGCTGCTAGGCAGTAGTAGTAGCATCCTCCCCACTCCAACCGATCCAGGACAAAACACCGCTGCCAAATCGCTCGATTCATTGACGCACTCTGTATCTCATAAGGCATTTCCACTTCCTTCTACATTCTTTCCATTTCAGTGATCACTACTATTCAGCCCTTTTACTCTACTAGCAAAGTCGTTAAATAAAAGCATAAAATACGAATACAATAAAATTTTCGGAGGAACTTACTATCTCGTTATAAGGTTTGAGATTTTTATGGCGGTGACTATGAAGAACGCCGTCTTCTGGAATGCGGTGTTGTGTACATCTCGTGTGAACCGACGTTTCGGAGGAACGTACCGCCTCCATCTTCAAGGTAGAANTAACAATGAAAGTGAAGAAAGAAGAAAAATCAGAATGCTTGATTGACTTAGATAAGAGTGTCCTTCATGCAACAGTGTCGTTGGGGACAGTCTCCTAACAGTGCAAACTGTTTCGAGCGAACATGTATTCGAGCGAACATGTATTCGAAGCACTAGTCATAACGTTCCGAACTCTGGCTGAAGTACCTCTTAGCTGTCTGGGAATTGAAGGGAATATGGAAACTGAGGATATGATGAGGAAATACACTTCGTAACAACGACAAACTTTAAACTACTGCGTCCTCAGAAGTTTTCGTTTTCACTTTCTATTATTATCCGTAAGTGCATACAACAGCCGAATTCCTTCTGTCAGTCTGCCCCGTTTCCGTCTATTACTCCAACATTTTCCCACTGTGTAAGGACAGCTCTACATCGCGAACGTACATTGAAGGGCGCTGGGTTCTTTTCCTGATCCATACAGGTCTTCTCTTTCACTAATTTTAGCGGGAGAGACTGCGCTGATAAATTTTCAACGAACTCGAGGAAGGCTAATCCATCAGCTTGTTACGCTCTTTGGGGGGAAATATGCAAGCACTTAAATGACCTTCCTGTATCTGTTTTAAGAAAGGAAGTCAAAATATGTTCTTATTGCAGTTAACTTCTTCTACCTCATCGATTCGGAAAGTCTCTAATACAGGACTCGTTTAGCTTCATTGTGCCTTATCTAGGTACAAGAAAACGACAAAGGAGTTTGTTAAGCTCTAGAACGGCTAGAGACTGAGGACTGTGGGACGTCCTACATCCCCAAAGCGACATATGCTGTAATTATTAGCTTTTATTATATAACCTGTAGTAACAACCAATTGTGAAGGCCTCTTTGTAGTGTGGATAATGAAAGATGTTAACACATTACATTTGTGTCTTTGTCTACTTGTCTGTCTGAATTGAATTGTGGGTCTGTGCTATGCGTTCTGAAACAAAATAAACTACATCTCTAGCAGTTTATCAGTACCGGAAACGTGCCGTTATGAAAACAATGATGTTATTTTATTTTCGAAAAACATTCAAGACGTGTCATCATCACCACCACCATCACACTAAAAATATGAAGCTGCATTTCCCCCAAAACTTACCTTCATAAGTTTTGTGTGCTTTAGATATTTTTTTCAAAGGCCTATAAGTTTACAGCATGTAAAGCCCATGTGCTGAAGGGCAATGATATTATCCCCACCTCATAAGTTTTCACCGCCGCCACGTTAGTGTTTTTGGAGGAAACATGTTAAATTGAATAACATATATACAAACTTTCCTGAAAATCGGTCAAGATGTGTACAGTACTGATGCCCAGTAATATATAATAGCCGAAGACGAATATGAAAGTATTTAATTAAATTAGGAGACTGAAGCAGTAACTGAACCCACGGTTAACCAAACGCAAAATGGACTCTGGACTGCGAGTCTCTGTGTTGAGGTATAAAGGTAAAGTTGTCCC